ATATTATGCAACCGTAATGCCGGCGTTTTGTAGATAATGCTTTACAAAATTTGCATTTGGTCCTGAAATTTGTCCAAGTAATCCTGGCAATTGTCCTGGTGATAATCTACCAAGTCCTTGTGCCAAATGTATACGTGCGTCGCCAATAGCTATATTTATTTTAAAAAATAGATGTATAGTAATAAATTATAAAAAATCTATATTTAATTACTTTATCTTAAATTAATATGTAAAATAAATAAAAATAAATGAATGCTTACATTGAAGTGGATCTTTTTTAGGCATTTTAGCATAAGCGAGCTGACTGTAACCAACTTGATATTCCATGTTTTCTTCCAATTCAGTTATCATATCTTCCGGAAACAAAGTTTGATCATGAGAAAATTCAAAGAATTCTACCAATGCAGTTAAAATGCGTGGATAAAATGTATTATATGGGTTTTCAAACATAGCTGGACAATCGGTTAATAAATTCGATATTCCTACAGCTGTTATTTTTTTTTCTATATCACCTGAGACTCTTTGTAAATCGGGAAGCAAGACGCGTTCCACGACCATACCAAACATTCTGTAATATAATAAAAATATTATTAATTGTCTCCTTCGCATATATTCAAATGAATACATAATTAATACGAGTTGTTAAAACTTACTGTGGTTGTATTTGATCGATAATATTAATGAAACTAGTTGCATTATATCTAATAATATAATAGGCAAAGAATACTATTAAACCTTGTACAAATTTAGTTGTTTTCGAAGAAGATAGCCGTTGGAATAATAATACAAAAATTTGCTTCATGTATGGTTCCAACGTATTCCTGAACATAAAATCAAAGATTTGATATAAAAAAAAATTGAAAAGTTTAATATAAAAATATTAATAATAATAATAAAAGACAAATAAACTTACGGTGGGAAATATTCAATGATACATTGTAATAATAAGAACCCTTCACGGTCATTAACCTTAGATGCAATTAACTTTTGGAAAACGCCCAATAAGCCGCTAGTTTTATCCTGTGCTATAATTAAATGTGAACCTCGACTAATATATGCTTGCAATAATCTATTAAGTGGATGAATATTAGCTTGACGTTCAAACAGAACTGGTGTTAATAAGCATGGGAATAAGGCCATGTAAGGATCTGGTATTTCTTGAGTAGTCCTGAGTTCCAAAAACAATGCCAAGATTTGGAAAACATAAGGTATAAATTCTGTACAAAGAAAAATAATAAGACAATTAAAAAACTATTTACACGAGTACATGTAAAGATGAGATTATATACAATGTGTGTACCTGAAATATCTTGCTGTAGAATTTCTTGGAATACAGGGAATAAAACTTGCTCGAAAGATAAAACTGCTTGAGGATTTGATTTACATACAATTCTGAAAAATATTTTTTATTTTTAATAACAAATTAATGAAATAAATTTTTGTGAACGGTAAAAACTTACTTGATAGACAAACTTAATGTTTCAAAAAGATAATGATTGAAGTTAGGACGTGTTGGATTTTTAGCAACCATTGTAAGTTTCTCTGTCAATTTTGGTAATAATTCTGCTAGGAAAGGTACAATATTATCTTGCAATATTCCAAAACTTCTCATAATAGCTTTCATCACATATTCGTTTTCTTCTGACCCTGTCTGAGACAAACATGCAAATAATCCCTTAAACAGATCCGGTGCTAATGGCATTAAATCGTTTCCTTTAACTCTAAAAATGAAATATAGAAAAAGAAAATGAAATTAACATTATATACGTAAATTATATTTTATGAATTATTCTATTACTTTTTTACTTACATAGAGTTATTGTCTGCGCCTCTCATAGAAAGTATCCTATCAATTGCACAAGCAGCATATGTATGAACAACAAGACTTGTAGCACCTAAGTGTCTGACTAATTGTGGTAAACTTCCTACAACTAATTCCTGGGGTAAAACTGATCTAAATGACATTATAAATTTAATAGCATCCGCTTTAAGAACTGGACATTCGTTAACTGTAAAAAATAAAATAATTCATAAGTACATAATATATTTATCATTATTAATATTTACAACGATAAAACTATACGTACTGTTTTGTTTAGAAAGTTCTGGTTCGATGTGTTGCGCTGTAAACTGTGGTAATGGAACAAGTTCACTTCTTTGCGTTACACCATGCTTTTGTGTTTTACCTTTAGTCGCACTGCTTGTTACCAAATAAATAGCTGCGTCTTTGCTGCGCCAATTTTCAGTAGGTTTCGCTGCATAGTTTTCTAACATTACCTAATAACGATAATATTTATTTGTAAAAATGTTTATACGAGAATTTAAATGTTTGTATAAAAATTATGTACCTGTATATAAGCACCAAAAATTTCCATTATTTTAGCTTCAAAATATTTCGATAGAACTTTGACCAAATCACAAGCTGCTCGTCTTCTTGTATCTACATCACTGCCTTCAATATCACGGCGTATGTATTCCTCTGGATTGTCTTCAAACAATTCACCATCCGAATCTACAAACAATTCGTATGTATTAAAATAATAAATCTAAATTATAAAATACATATTTCAATTTAATGTTATAGTTAATTTTGTTTGTTATCAAAATGTCTACCCTACCTCTAAATTCCATATTAGGAATAATAACTTTCTCGCAGATACTGCTTAAAGTTCCTGCATCTTCGAACAGATTTCTATATCGTGAACGATCTGCTACTATGGCCAAAAATTGCAATGCATTCGATACTAACTAAAACATTATTATTATTATTATTATTATTAGAAAGCTTGAGTTTGAATTCATAATTATTAAATAAATATTTCATACCTCATCGTATTTGGTTTGTTGACCTGTTGACGTTAACAAGTTCCATACTGTAGTTACAAATTCTGGTAAAAATGGCTGAAATTCTTCATCATATTTTTGAGCATAAAGACAAATATTATCACAAATTTGTGTTTTTAACTGCTCCAATACTCCTGCTTCTTCATTATCCTAATAATACATCGTAATATAGACATTTAATATTAATTTAATAATTATCTATAAATGTCAAAAATATTGATAATTACTGTTGTTCTTAGTGATGGCACATCAGCGTTTAATAAAACAAGAAAGTTTTTCATCCATGATGACATATTATCTTCAAAAAATTCCGGTAAATCCTAAAAAGACGATACAAAAGAAACATTTTAATTTTTTACCACTGCGATAAAATATAATTCACTGTGATTTAAATCACTGCGATAGTCATCAAAAATATTGGCAACTTACTTGAAAATTAAGAGAATAAAATATTTTACATAGCATAACCAAAGAATTATATATGACTTTTAAGGCATCTACATTATTAGCATGTATCTGAGCTAAATTTATAGTTGTCTATAAACAAAAAAAGAAAATTAAGTTATAATATTTATACTTATGTATTATACTACATGAATATTACTATATGAAGACTTACTAAAAATAATTCTGTAAACGGTTTAGCAAATTGGTCCAATATATATTTAATCTCTCTCCACAAAGATTCACTTTTGAATTCGTACCTATATCTCTTAAATAAAGAATGTGCAGTATGTAAAATACCATTAATAATATTTAAATCCCCCGAATTGAATTTCTCAATTATCTGACCGATCAACTCAGGCCAATTTTTTAAAAGATCATGTTTACCGATGATCGATACAGCATCAGAAAGCTGCTTTTGTACTGAATGAGGTGAATTCAACATTAAATTAATTATTAACTTCTTTATCGCAGCTCTATCTTGTTGATTTATATGATCTACACCATCTTCATCCTATAAATTAAATATTATTGAAATTCTAATACAATTCAATGATTAGATAAAATGTTAAATGTTAATCACTTACAATCTTCCAATTACGCTTTATATAGTTTTTAAATGCAACTGCACCAGCAACTCTTATTGTTATATCCATTTCGGATTTGTCTATCAAGTGTAAAAGTAGTAAAGGGTAATTCTGATTTATTTCTATTGATTCCAGAAACTTTTCGGCTAAAATGAAAAATATAAATTATTCAAAATAAGTATAAATGTTATATTTGCATATGTAATTTACTAAATTAAACACTTTGTTATAAAATGTATAAGAGTACATTATAGCATGAGAAAATTTGTTTAACGTCTTTGAATTTTTAAATATAACTAGATGATCAATTATAATCTTTTTGTTAAATGAATATAATAAAAAAATATTTATTATACAAAATGAAAATTTATATTAAATTTGAGGTTAACTTACCCGGTCTTCTGACACTTATTTCAGGACTTAACGTATGTTTTAAGTATTCGCTCAGCGTCAACAGATTATCATCGGTGAGTTCCATTTTTGTATTGTTTAAAAGATATATTGTTTGTTCTTTCACAAGATATTCTTAATTCTATCACAACAATAAAAAATCAAAGCGGCATAACGTTCCAGTATTTCGTAAATTGAAGTTCTATAAGCGCCATCTACTAGTGTCGAAACAATACTCTATTTCCTGTAGTACTTTTCTGTTAGTGCGTTTAGTTTCGATTATTCTTTTCATCGAGATACATCGATCAGTACAAACTTTTAGATTAAATTTTATCATTCGTTATTTTAGTAATGATTAATAATAGAATTAATAAAAAGAATAAATATATCGTTCTATTTTCGATATTACTTTTGTGCAAATGAAATTAAGTTTCTATGATCCAACTATATCATATTTATTACTAGCATTTGCAGTTTTAGTTACATTTTCTTAGATTTAGTTAATGGTTGAACAATGCCACTTTTATCATAGTTTTATTGGTTACTATTAATTGGAATTCCTATTGGTGTGTTAAACGGTTATTTTATTTAAATTGACAATTTTATATAAGAATAGAATAAAAATTATTAAATTAATGAATTTATTTCAAAATTATAAATCTCTAATTTAAAACAATTTAGCTATTATTTTATATTATAATTTTTTATATTTTTAAATATAAAAATATAATTCCTTTGATATTAATATTATTGCTAATAGACAGTTACAACATTAGTGGTAACATTGTCAACAATTAACCATTGTTATATTGATCTTTAACAATTTGTAATGTTTTAAGTTTAAAAATGAACTCTCTTATTCAGTTTGTTTAAATAATTACAATAGAAGAATCTTATAAATTCCTAGACACCTAATTAGCAAGTAAGTACATATATATAATTATTATTAAAATTAAAGCAATATACAGTAACAATATATAATGATAATGATACATGATGATATCTTACGATACACATACACTACTAAGTAACATAATTAATATATAATAATTAATTTGTAAATAGTACATTATATTGGTACATGTTAAATTTCTATAGATATATTTTTATTATTTGTTATGTATACGACTTTGTCAAAGAATGCAGAATTCAAACTTAATTCAAAATTAATAATAATTGATAATAAATGACATTATATCTATAAGTGAAAATTAAGAAAGAAAATAATTTTTTCTATTAATATTGCACTTTGCATAATATAAATTAATGAGGTGTAAATTTTTACTATATTTTATAAATAAGAGCATAAAACATATATTAATTTGTACTAATATTTGATAACTTATTTTAACAATATAAATTATTGATAACTCATATAAATGATCTAATGCAATACACAATCATATAGGCATCCACGAAGTTGAAGTATTTTCTGTTTCTTTTGCTAATCATTTCTATATTGTTTTTATCTCGTTCATTATTTATTCGTGAATGCTGCTAGAGAATAATAACAGATTAACGCGAATAGATTATTGATTCTTTTCTTTTCTTGTATTATAATATATAGATTAATACCAAAATCCAAGAAGGCATATGTACAGTCTGTAAATTGCAATTAAGTTTTTTTTTTGTTATTAATAATAAAAATGTATTTTTTATTTCTTTTTTTTTAAATCAATTATCTCATATTACCTTTTCCATACCTAAAAGGCAGTATTTTTGTAAAATTTACAAAAATTGCCTGCCAATCAACATTTCACTTCATTAGATACAATTATTTTTATATAATTGTTTTATTCTATTGATAGTGTTTATTCAATCACTGTCTACTCCATTTTTTGATAAACGTGTTAACAGTCGTCTGTTGTCTTCATCCGATCCATATATCACTTCTTCATCCGAATCATTTATCATCGAAAAAGCAGGATTATCTTTCATTATGGATGAATCTATATCCGCATATAACAAGTAAAAGATAAATTGAATTAATTTCCTTGACAGAGTAATAATTAATTAATAATTATTTTCGTGATGGAAATATTTACGTTGTCCATAGACTTGTTGTAATGCTGGAGCATAAACGTATGCCATTGTATACAAATAAAAATTGAGAAGGCCATACAAAGCCATAAATTGTGCCGATGTGCTATAATATGTAGAAAGACGCGAGGCAAAACTATCTTCGAGAACACCTGCACCAAATTGACGAGAAGTAACTAAGCTGCAAACACCAGCAACTACTCCAGCAAGTAATGTTAAAAATCTTAATCGTAAATCTGGAAAAAATAATTATGTATTATAAAGAACAAATTAATGTAAAACGCTTTTGTTTCGCAATATTTGGTAAAGTTTGATAAAGTTTTATTTACCAAAATATGGCATAGATCTTAGTTCGCTATATGCCTTAAGTATAAGTAGAAGAAGATATGCAATGTAAAAACCACCAACTGTAAAGAAGAATACTTTGAAACCCTGTAACATATAAAAAGAAATATTATAGTACGTATTATTTAATCTTATGAAAAAATATAAATAAAGAAGTATTACTGACATAATAATTTGATGTATCAAGAACATAATTATATGTTGGATCTTCTAATTCGGTACAACGAAGCCATGTTGCTAATGTTAGAGCTGCCGCCCATAGAAGACCAACAACCAACATTTTTGGCAAATAAAAAGTGATCAATCTCCTTTCATTCTATTAAAATAAATGTATATATTAATTATTACTATTGTAATAATACTAAGTATTTTTTATCGGTAGTACCTGTCTAAGACCATGATAAACGCAAAGCCAGAACATGAGAATAGCACATAAAAAAGTTGTTTGTAGTATTGCATCGAGCATTCCAGGTACCCAAGAGTTTATTAAAAATGTCATAGGAAATAAAGGATCTGTGTGAGCAACAAAAATAATGTATAGTAATGCTCCATAAGATATCAAGTTAAATGAAGAATACCATTGTTTGCTTTTATGATTAATTCGTGTAATACTTACTATTATATAAAATTAATAATGGAAGAAGAATAGAAATCCATTTTTGCTCTATTGACCAATCATGTAATGAATATTTTCTTAGCGAGTGACCGAACCAACACTGGAAAAAAATCACTCATTGGAATTATTATTTCAAGACTTATAAGATTTAATTATCATTAATTACCATTACTCCAAAAGTAGTCAACAAGAAGATCAGTCGAAACCATATCTCAATTTGTGTGAACGCAGGATTGTAATTTTTAAACTGTGAATATGATACAAAACCATAAAGTGCAAATAATTTAAATTTTTAAGTTATCTTGTCCAACGCATTATTTTGTTTAGTGCTTACTGACGTAGAATGTGAGATCTCGTATTGTATATCGTTGATGAAAGCTTTCAAGTCCATGAAAATGCACAGTTATTATATAGTAGGTGTAATCTAAAAATCCAAGATGAGCCACAACAAGCTCCTCGCAAGATTGTCTCTCACATTTCAAATGTCTTGTTCTGTAAATTAAAAAAAAATCTTACTTTATATTTAAATAAGACATTATATTATTTATAAAATTAATCTATATATGTACCTTGTATGTCCAGCTTCCAATATAGGAATACGCTTATGATCAATACTAATGCCTTCTATTGAAACGCTTACTTGAAAACTTTTATCGTATCTTTCATCTGCAAACAAAATAAAATCTGCATTAAATCACAATTTCACTATATTTAATAAATATTACATATAGCAATTTTTATTGATAGAAAATTAAGAATGTTATTTAATTTATTTATTTTGTCACCGTCATTATTTAACGTAGATAATTTAGCAATGACCCATAATTGTTGACTATAAGGCGATAAAGCTGGCGTCTTCATTCTAAATGGTCCAGTTGCCATTTCGCTTCCATTGAGATGTGCTTTTTGTTCACTTGTTGAAGTTATTGGCGGACCTTAAAAGTAAAAGAAAAGTTTTAAATATTAAAATGTATAATATAAAACTTAATTATACAACGATGCTTACCAGTAAGCCCAATGAACACGGACAATCCAAAACAGGCAAAAAAGCCAATGAATACCATGACAAATTCTCTTTTGTGCATAGAATATAAGCGCATTTGCACAGATCTATTTTTATAAATAAATATTTGATTATATTACAAGTAATTTAGAAAAAATTCCATAAAATAATTCATATACCTTTCGCAACGATCATGATGATATGCTGGTGCAATGTATTTGTTAAATTCGCTAAAAAGATCACTAAATTGAGATAATGCATTTCTAATTTTAAGATTCCATCCAGCAGATGGTAAATGATAGGAATATCCTAATCCTTGATTATCCATCGTTTAACAATTCTGTAAGAGATCAGTTTTAATATAATTAATGTATTAACAGCATTTCTAAATGTAGTATTATAACTTTATTATAAAATAATTCTTAAAATTTTCTATTATTAAATAAATAGTTTATATATATAATTCATAAAAAATTTAGAAACGTTTTCAATACATTTTAAATTTTGTAAATATTTGTTAAATTCTTTTAATCATTTGTTTACAGAATTTTAGAAATAAATATTTATATAATACTATATTAGAAAAATGATAGAGAAAATAAAATATATAAATATGCAAAATAATAAATCTACGCATGGAATTAAAATAATGTATTACCCCTTTTCAAGAGCACCACTTAAATATGTCGATTTTACAATGTCTCACAGTTTAACTTATTACATTTAGGTTTGGTTTCAAATTTGAACGCGTTCTTTCAAATAATCATTAAATTAATAAATTTAATGAAATACCATAAATATCATAAAAGCGTAGAAAATTGAAATACGTTTTACATGAGAAGCAGAGAATACGGCAGACATTGTGATACATACTATTGATTTTTGCACCCTACATGTGTATTAAGGAATTACTAACTTATCTGGCCTATCTGAATGTTACAAATAAAATATCAAATCTAGGATAGACTAAATTTGTTGAATGTTACAATTAAAAGTATTGTTTACGTTGTTGTGTAAATATTTTATTCACATTTGTTTTTCTTTTACACATTTCGCAATTTATCATTTATTTTATAAAAAATAATGACTAATACTCAAGGACATTTCGTTTAAAAAACAAAAAAAAGAGAACAAGAGAATACTAATAAATAAAATGATTTTATATGCTATAAATTAATAATCTTATGAAAATGTATTAATTAATAATAGTTTAAGTGTTTAAGTAGTTCAGATTAAAACTTTATAATATCTAGTAGAGTAAAATTAAAAATTTATTACAAATTCTATATGTACAATCTTAATACGTAGATGGACGCATGAGTGTGCGTACGCACATTAATTCGCATAAAGTCAAAGAGGTAGAATTTACATATTAATATAAAATATTAATCCCAATATTTTATTTTTCCATCCCATCCAGCTGTTGCTAGTTTAGATGGTTCGTGTGGATGCCATAAAACATCAATGCATACGCCGTCGTGCGCTTTCCATTTTTTATATAATTTTGTTGTCTTCCAGTCCCATATGTAACATTTTCCATCTGCATCTCCTGATACAAGATAACTAAAAAAGATTAAAATTATTTAAACATTATAATTTTATTATTATATTTAAATATTTATTTGTATAAAATGTGTATTTATACCTCATGTCAGGAGAAAAATCAAGACCACAAGCATAACCGGCAACCATATGACCAGTAAAAGTTTTTTTTCGATTCATTTTGAATCTGTTTAAGGCCGAGAATATCACAATTTTATTGTCCATGCTTTGACAAGCTAACCATTTTTGATTAGGCGATGGTGTAACAGCTGGCATCGAATGCATCGAAGGATCAGCAATGTATTTCATATCAACAGGAATATCCCTAAAAATTAATTTTCATTTTTGTTTATTATAAGTTTCGATTCAGTGCTGCAATAATGCAAAAACCAATAAAATTATTTACCATTCCCAAACGCGAAGACTTTTATCATCAGAAGTAGTAACAAATCTACGATTATCATCAACAAAAGTTATTGTATTAACTGCACCTAAATGTCTGTCATATTCTTGAGTTATCTCACCAGATCGTATATCCCACTGTATAAGATAAATAATTTTTATATACATTAAAAAAAGAATATTTCCCATTAAATATCACAAAAAGTAGCAAATTATCATAAGACTTACGCAAATAATTTTTTTATCGCTTGTTCCAGCTACAAAAAGATGTTGTTTATCTGGATCGGGATTAAACTTAGCACAATATGGAATTTTTCTACTCGTAAATCTGCTTATACAAGCGCCAGTTTCTGTGTCCCATAATTTAACATAACGATCATAGCCAGCAGAAAGAAATCTCTTTCCATCATTGTCAAAACTTACATCACGTACAGCTTGACGATGACCGTAATAAGTTCTAACGCATCGTCTTTCTTTGTAAACTTCCCATAACTGTATATGTAATATAAAATCATATTTAATATCATTTAGACAAGATAATTATATAGATAATTTAATATAAATAATTTTGATTTTATAAAATACCTTAACCCTACAATCCATACTGCAGGAAAGAAGCAAGTGGGCAGTTCGTGGGAACCATCTTATTTGAGAAATACCCTTTGTGTGACCCTCCCATGTATGAATGTGTGCTTTTGGTAGGAAACACCGTTCAGGTGGTGAATCTGATCTTAAGTTGACACCAATATCTTGTGGTGCATGTAGAAATGATCTTCCTTGATAATCCACACTATCTTTAACTATAAAATTTAAAGTAGAATTAAAATAATTTTGTAATGATGCAGTATATATATATATATAAATGTAGGAGTACGTACTATGTAATACAGTCTTTTCTTCAAGTGGTTTTTCTTCCACTTGTTTCCCTCTCTTATTTCTTTTAGCTAAAATCTCTTCCAATTCCGCTGCTTCTTCTTGAGTAGGTTTAACCACTCGTCTTTCATCTATATAACCACCCCAAGGACCTAAAAATCCTTCGATATCTGCAGGATCATTATTCCTATGTCTTTTTCTTTTATCCGCAGGCCTTAACATTGTATTTTCAAATACTGTTTTACCACCCGATTCTTCTGCAGCTTCCTTAGCACCAATCAATGTTTTTCCTTCTTCTGCGCTACCATCAACGGTTGGATCCAGAGCATATCCTAAAAACAATAATTTACTATACATACCTAATGTTTTATAATACAACATAAGTTTAATATTTTAATAACACTATAAAAAGATTTACCATAACTCGTAAATGTCCTTCTTTGATTCTCAAATTGAAATTCACTGATGTACGCTTTCTCAACATAACCAGAAAGCATGTTTTTTGTAGCTCGTTGTTGCTGAGTTTTAAATGGATTTTCTGGGCCTAAATCTGGAGCGAACAGTTCTTCGTACTTAGGATTATGCGTAACCATAGTTGCGGTTGAATCTATATGTTTAAGGCATAACTCTGTTCCCTGTATTAATATCAAAAATATAATCAAGGATGTATTAAAGCCAATGCAACCAGAGTATTCAAACAAAGTTGTGTAAATCAAAGTCTAAGCTAGTTTATAAAGAATATTTGTATGTAAAATGTAAGTTCTATTTTCTGGGCCCAATAGACCATAAATTAATAAAGTTATATCTGTCTATCTAATAACTCTAGTTCAATGTATTGGAAGTAACCTACCGTGGATACAACTTCTGGTGCTGAACATATTTGTAATCCAATAGAATTTATCGACTTGCCAATAGTAGAAATTGAATCTCTTGGAGAAACATCATCGTCATTATTAATATGTTTATCATACTCTTTTATTTTGTCTTCATTATTGTCAACAGTACTTTCATTTTCAGAACCACTTTCACCATCACTGCTACCATAATCTTTTAAGGCTAACATACTTTAAATTACGTAAACAATAATACATATGTTATTAATATTCAATTTTTCAAATTTTTGTTTTATTTAATTATTTCAAAATATTATTCTTACAATGTTAACAGCATCAAAATGGGTTAAGTTTCGATGCAGTGTAGCCAACCTTATCAGAACGCATGACGTCATTTATGTAAGAAGAAAATCCCTATGAAACAATTCATAGGGAAAATTTACTAAGGTTTGTTTTTTTTCTTTTTACATAAACGAGGTATGAAAATAAATTATATGATAATTTTTAATAATTAAGTATAAATATTGGAACAATATAAACATTTTATATATTATATATCATAATACAATACTTATAGAAATTAAATATAACATTATTTAATACTTATTTTATATTAAAAGTATTTATATTTTTATACATATGTATATTTATTTTTTTACAGTATGAAATTCAATATTTAATATAATTAATTTAAATTAGAGTATTCACATACATATGTTTGATTCATTAATGTTTATAATTATTTTTAATTATATTTTTTTGAATCTACATATAGGAGTGTTTCTGTTTCTTTTTTTGTTAAATTTTACCAGCATATATTTTATAAATAAAAATAGGAACAAATGTTACAGAAACATGGGTTTTTAAATGTTTTAGTATGTATAGGTAAAATAGTTAGAATTATCTATGTATCTATTTATAATATAATAATATAAATAATCAAATTTAATAACTACGTACATTCGTTGCACGATTCTATATAATATGTGAATATATGTCTCCGCGTATAGGCAACCAAATATACACGAGTGTTGACATGCATCTGTTCGTCACGTACAGTAATATGCTCTTTGAAATAGGCAGCCCGACATACACTGCATAAGCACAACACGTGTAAAAAGTTAATTAAAACGTGTAATAATTTATTATTACATTAACCTTTCGCGTATTACAAAATAATACAAAAAGATATATATATATATATATATATATATATATATATATTTAAAAGAAATATATACTATGTAATTACAAATTTGAAATTATTTATCAGGATTTATTTAATAAACATTTAACAAAGTTTACGTTGAAATATCAGTCGCATCGTAATTAACGGTATTTAATTTTGTTTTAATACTATAGATCACGCCGTTCACATAGATTTAAATCTTGAAGATTAAAAAAAAAGAAAAAGAAGAAAAAAAGAAAGAAAGAAAGAAATAAAGATAAAAAAAACATGAAGCGAAGACAGGTATAAATTTATATGTGCGCCTAATCGAATGCAATTTCTTTGAATCGTAGTACTATGTAGGATCATTGGGCCAAGGACTCCGAACACGAACAGTTCTATTCCCACGGAAGACTAGTAAATGGTATCTAGAAAGACACTGCGGTGTCATTATCCTTTAATAAGTAACAACTACATTGAAAGGTACAACCTTTCGTTTAGAGATCGGAATAAAGCTTTAATCTGAAATACGAATGGTACTCCCTTGTATATTCTTAAGTATACAGGATGCACGTGTATCCTGTATTAACGATATTGAATTAGAAAAATATGTTTTTTTAACAATTCACATCTTTCCCATTTCAAAAAAAAAAGAAAAAGTAATACCTAAATAAAATGTATAACAACATTATGATCGATATTTTTCAATTCGATATCGAATTATTTAGATATTCGTTATATTTGAAAAATGACAATGACCGATTAGTAATATTTAATCTGATCGAGTAAATTGTAGTATTTAAATTATAGGAGTATGAAATTCGTTGAATAAATTCGTTCAATATTATAACATAGATATAGAAGAACATTATTATTTTAGTTCGGTAATAATCTATTGACGTAGGACGAAGATAATATGAATTGTGAGTGCATTCATAACTATCGGGTCTGGGCTCTTATAAAAGCAAACGACGATTTAAATTGCAAATATGTTAAAGGTCGATCGATAGAAAGGTACAATGAATCATAAATAGCTAACGAAGAGAAAGCGTCATCAATAACGTTTGATTCTTTATTAGGAAGTTGAGATTATAGACGAGTTAATGTAACTTTTTATTTTAATGGTTAATACAAAATCATTTAATTTTCTTAATTTCTTTATTTCTCCATCATAAATGTATTTCGAAAAATGTTTGTGCGAGATGTACGAATATTTACGCGAAATAATAATACAGAAGTATATTATTAACGTCAATCATAATATCATCAACATTAATCGTTTTACATATTTTCATGACAAGTTACAAAATAAAAAAATTAAAAAAAAGAATAAATGCAACTTCTTTTCGGATGATTTATTTCGACTTTCATAATTTCGTCGAACTAGAAGTTATTTGTATATTTAAATTTAGGTGATTGTGAAATAATGGTAATAAGTAATAAGCATATTTTCTAGTTTTGTTTTCGAAAGTTTATACATGTAGAGATATTTTTAAATAAAAAGGAAACAGGAAACGTTCGAAACTTACGGAAGAAAGTTAACGTAGTTTATGTAGAAAAAAAAATAAACGTAAAATTTTGATTAAAACAGTCTCACAATTTATGATAGTAATTTTCTGTATTTTAAGGAACACTATATTCGAATTAGGTATACGTTTTTCCCCTCGATGGTGTTACCAATACAACGCGTCGACCACAAACTCGTTTGCATTTGACATTAAACGCCCATCACGTGTTAGGTATAATACTGAGAAATCGTTGTAATATTATGTAACTAATTCAGAACTGTCATAGTATTTAACTGATGGATCTATAAAATAAATTAGACGGATGTTCTAATGAAATCACTCGTGTTTACTAGTCGAATCGTATTTCTTCTAAAATCCGAATAATAAAATAGTTGTAACAAATGATTAATAAACAGGATGATTAAATTTATGATTTTCGAAGTCGTAGGTCATTCGAGTAAAATACGATAACAGAGAGGGAGTTAGGGATTTTTTCTTTTTCAAACGACGAGTCTTTATTAAAACAACGTTTCGATCGTTTTGATCATTCTTTTTCTTTTATTTTTTTTTTTTTTTTTTGATAGATTTATTGTGCCAAGGGAATAAATCGCATTACGTAAGAAAATAATACTCGAGATGGCCATTAAATGAGTATATGCTTACTTTGAAAAGGCAAGACGACTCCTTCAAAAACTCAGAACCGAGTTCGTCGATCTACCGTTCGGATCGTCGATGTACGGGAAAGGTAAGAATGTTTGAAAACGAGAAACGTTAAGAAGAAAAAAAAGCAAGTAAGAAAAAGAAAAAGATTAAGAAGAAAAAATTGAAGTTGATGAAGTTGAAAAAGACGAAGACGACGACAACGACGACGAAGAAGAAGAAAAGGAAGAGAAAGAAGATAAAGAAGAAGAAGATGATGATGATCTTGCCTTCACTGCAAGAGTAATCATCTTGGCTTATTGCGTAAGTAAAAGGAGCGATCGTTGGCCTGAGTTAAGTAATCACGAAAAATCACAACACGTGGTAGATAGCGCATCTTTTGAAACAAGATTTAAACGGAAGCTGAAAATTTCCAATGAAGTTATTAAAAATCGGTTTCTTTTTCAAGTGAAAAGTGTCTTCATAATATCTACGTTGGTCCTTGTCTTTTTATTCTTTTTATTCATCTTCTTCTTCCTCGAATGATCCATCTCCTTTCTCTTTCTCGATCTATCGATTTCGACGATTATCCTTTAAAATAATTATTTTTTCACTCCAAAATAATAAGCAGTTATTATTTACAAGAAAAAGAAAAAAGACAAAAAAATGGCTGTATTTTTTGGTAGATCATTAATATTATTTCGTTGTTCCTTACCTAATCTTATTTTTTTGTCTTTTTGGAAATTTTTACTTCAAAATGATAGATAATTATTTTCGAGGAAATGAAAAGGAAGAAAATGAATTGTTTTTATTTATTGGATCATTCGTATTATTTTTTAAGGGATCAAGAAGCGTTGGCGTCTGCCGAAATAAACTTTCCCGGGTTATGTAAATGCAGGATCTCGGCATGTGTTGCCTCCCGCCAGTATAAAGGTCGGCTCTGCCCCCAACAGTCCAAGAGTTGCTCGCGAACTTCACGCCGGCAACCATCGGTAGAGGAACGATCTATATGTGACGCTGATTTCTTGTCGTGTTTTGACTTATTTTCATTATTCTTATTCTTCTTCTCATTCTTCTTCTTCTTCTTCTACTACTACTTCTTCTTCTTCTTATTATTATTATTATTCTTTTACCTGTTTAATCTCCTTTACCTTTATCACCTGAGGCATCCTCACTTTCTCGTGAACAGGCTACCTTACACCATTCTTCTATTATCCACAAAACAGACGTCGTGCCGGTCAACATGCGCTCCTTGGTGAGTCTTCTTCTTCTTCTTCTTTATCATCATCATCATCGTCATCATTATTATTATCATTATTATTATTTATTTTGTTTTGATTTTTTTGTATGTAATCTTTTCCTCTTCCTTTTTACTTTCTAATATTTTATTAATTCGGTTACAAACTTTCGTTATCTAATTAACATTTCATTATTATTTCCCCATTCACTTTCTTTTTTTTTAAATTTTATGCATTTACCATATATTTTTACTTTTTTGTAAAATTGTGTTTTGTTTTTTTAGGTTTAATCGTAGTAGGATCGTTTTACAATTAGATCGAAATAATTTTCCATGTCAAGTGACGAGTTGTAATTATTATTTTTTTTCTTTTATTAGAATAAATGATTGAATTATTGATTTTTAATATTCATTCAGATGGAACGTTTTATTTGAAATTAATTAGACAATATATTGAGATTTATTTTTATTATCATTATTATTTATTGTTTTATTTTTATTTGATGTTTGTTGTATATTTGTTCTAACAGTTTACTGATTAAATTTTACGATTATTTTAGATAATATGATTTTATATGACAATTATCCCGTTAAGATAATTATATTACGATAAAATAATAAATTTTGTTTATAACTTCGAAAATAAACGATTTATTGAGCATTAATTGAATAATTAATTCAATAAAAATCTATTAATGATAAGGAAATCGTATTCATCGGGGAACGTTCAACTTTGCGTATTTACCGGTTCGATTAATAAACCGCGCTTATATGGCCTGTGGACATCTTGAAAGCGTGAATAATATTTACGATCATTGCATAATCATTGTCGAAGACATGGCGATCCATTTAACCAAGTAGGCAGGCAACTTTCGTAACACCAAAATGAAATTCGAAAATAAGATTTGTTATCGAATCGAAAGTTACAATATTAAAATATATGTTCAAAAAATGAAACAAAATTAATTAGAAAATATATATTCCATTGGTTGATAGTACTCGACAACTCGACGTAACGAAGTTAACGATAATAATAATGATAATAATAATTATTAATTTTATTAGCTAGTAAAAGAATCAAGTATAAGATTGAAATTTGAATGACAAAGGACTTTAAAATGCTTTCTCAAGGAATTCTTGAGAGACTTTTAGAGTGGGACGATGATGGTTGAAACATTCCGTGTGATGTTTCAAGTAGCGAAGGTATTTAAAAAGACAATGCACGTGTAACGTGCAAGTATTAACGTTCGGTTATTCTCGGTTACCTTTTACCAGTTGAGATTGTAATGGGTATCATGACCTATCGACTAACACATTCATTTTGCCCTGACCTTTCGTTGGGGAAAGGTATGTTAGAAGATTTACAGAACATGTGGGCGTGTGTGTGTCTTTCTCTATGTATATGTATTTGTGTGTGTATGTATATGTACCTTTGAATACTTTGTGTGTACTCGCTTTCGATTTTCTGTTTGGTCTAATCTTCATACACGTATGTACGCACATGTATGAAATATGTACATAACTATTTCTCACGTATTATGTTAACTTATTTATTTAAATATTATTATCAATTTCAAATCATATCAAATTTTCAATAATAATCGAATAGGACGTGTTTACAAGATATCGTCAATGTTTCAAGATGTTTTAGTGTTTAGATACGAGCGAAAACTTTTCATAACTGCGAAGATGTTCAAACCTATTGCCGATAGTTTTTTACGTTTCTTAAGTCAATAAATTAAGATTTAATGTACTCGTAAATGCACCGTTAGTGTATTTATAGTGGACATGATAACCTCTTAAATGGAATAAATTATTTCAATTTGAAATCATTCTGTTTTTACAGATAGAATTTTATTTGTTCCATATAAACGCTCATATATAACATTTTTTCATTCTTTTTTTACGCATAATCATTTATAATCTAATATAAATCAATCATCAATTGTAATAGTTTTCGTTAATTTGTTTGTCTTTCTTTTTCAGCTAATGATCGCGATCGTTGGCCTTGTCCAGGGTCAAGAATACTTTCGAGTACCCGAAAAGGTGCTAAGCGAATCACGCGACCTTGGGGATACTCGAGGTCATTACTCGTTCGCTTACGAGACCGAGGGTGGAATTCTTCAGAAAGAAAGTGGTAGCAGGAAATATGCTGGTACACCGGACGAGACTCAGTTGATACAAGGATCGGTACAGTACAATGCACCCGATGGAACACCCATTGCCATGAGTTGGACCGCTGATGAGTTTGGTACTCAAGTATCTGGTACTCATATTCCAACCCCACCACCAATTCCACCGGCTATTCAACGAGCTCTCGAGTGGATTGCAAAACAACCTTCGACCAGCGAACAACCGGATCCACCTCAACCACACCAACAACAACAGCCGAAGCAACAATCCACTTACAGTCAAAATGCTGTTATCAATGCAAACGTTAATCGTCCTAACCGAGTGTTTCCGAATAAACGATTCTGAATCACATAGTATTTTAAAAGTTATGCTAGACGTTAGATTCGTCTGATCGCGAGATTCCTTTTATGTATATTTTTTTAATAAACTTTTGTCGAATTTTTTATTTATATATATATATATATAAATATGCACATAATAACTGTATGTATATGTGTGTATACATAAAAAGGCTTATCGATAAGATACGATAAAAAAAAAGAAAATGAACATTTGTATAGAAATTGATAAATGATTATTAGTCATTTGTGATTTTATTAGAGGCTCTGATAACAGATTGAGGATAAATAAGAAATTCTTTTTTTTTTTTATTAACTGATCGAATAATAAATATAAATTATTAAATAAGGAAAGATCGATCATCGATTCGTAGGGTAACTATGTTATGTACTATTTTATATATTTCTTCGATATGAGATGATTCAATTTATATGATAATTATTCTAAGATGTACATGTAGACTGACGAAATTTTGAAAGTTTGACTATTTTGCGTATGAGGATGTATAATCTTTTGTTATGTAATTCCCGAATATATATGATTATTTATAATATGTATCTTAGAAATTATGCGTGTTGAATTTTGTTTCTTTTTTCTTTTTTATTTTTTTCTTTGCTTTAGTATTATTATGTCGACACATCGTTGTGCAAAATTTCGTTGTTAATTTTCGAAGTTATCGCGACGATGACGATAACGTTTTAAACGAATATTATATAATACAATGTAAAATGTATTTTAATTTCTCGTTTGTTAATTCGTTATTAAGTTATACCTTTTACGAAAGAGAGAAAGAGAGAGAAAGAAGGAGAGGCAGAAAGATTACTATGCTAATTCGATAGCGTTTCAATTATTTCTATTTGTTCGTTCGATCGAACGATAATGATTCTTTTAAAACCTAAACAACATCATTCGATCGATACTTGTCCATAAATCTACTCGAGAATTTAATTAATGATTTATAAAATCTCTGTTTATCATGAAAATATTTTTTATACATTTTTTTACATATACACATAAATATAATAATATTTATAAACCAATTAATTAGTCAAAATTATTCTTGGTAAACGAAAGAAATGTGAATTTTATCATTCGTATTTTATTAATTCGTTCTTGAATCTGACTGGATATCGATGTTATGAAATCCAAGGACACTAAAGAAAACGATTTATACTGTTACGAGATTAAGAAAGGAGAAAAAAAAGAAGTCAATGTTTTGCGTGTACAAAAACGACTTTATTTACAATAACACACCTTGCCCTACTCCTGAACACTCTCTACTTTGGATACATCCCAAGATTTTGTACAATAATACATTCTATGTCATTCCGACATACGTTATAGATTATTTCGAAAGCCATTGATTCGTTAACACTCTTTGATGAAGGATCTTAATAAGATTTCCTCTTATGTCTTTTTAAAATAAAACTTTCTATATATATCTTTGATATATCCAATGAAGATTAACAGAAGTCAGGTAAAGTTGTTAAAGGAGAGAAATGAACAATTAAGAAGAAGACAAAGACTAAGAAGAAATAAAAGGGCAAGAAGAGTAGAAAAAGAAGAGGAAAAAGAATTAGAAGAAGAAGAAGAAGAAATAGAACAAGAAGGAGAAGAAGAACGAGAAGATGGAATATCTGTTAAAACAAAACTATCAATTTTCAACATTTGCTTGAGGATGGGTGGCGATGTATTCAAGAGCCCTCTGGATATGTACTGGTATTTCTGGTGGAACTGGTAAGTGTGAACCCTCAGGATGGAATCCGTTGGCATCGGCAGTGTAAGTAACACGGATTGGAGTACCATCGGGAGAAGTATAAGTGAAGGTTCCAGTGACCTCTTTCAAAAGCTCGTCACCCTGGGCTCTAACTTGTGCTTCTTCAGATACTTGAATGCCATTAGCTGTCTCGTATTCGAAACTGTAGCTACCATCTGGGGCTGGTTCGGCTACCCTTTGTTTTACGATTTCTATTACTTCATTTTCTATACCTGGGGCAGCCAATGTCATTGAGACGAGGGCACACAAGACGATTACCTGAAACATACATATATACACATATAAATCGTATTATACAAGTGTATAGACATTATAAAATTATAATAATTGTTCTGATCAAAGTGAAATTTCACGTAACATTTTATAAGTATGTAATTTATTTTATTTTTATTTTTTATTATTTTTTTCTTATTTTAGGCGTATTTTATTTTTCATAATTTGGTTTTTTTTTCTACACGATAACAAATTATACCACACGATCGTCGTAAATGTCATTTTTACGTACGCAAAAATTCTATACAGTGGACCAAGAAATTGCGTATATAAAAATTAAAAAGGAACATTCGTATACGCGTTCATGAGTTATGAATATTAATGAAGGATTCGCAGTTTCTCTTCTAGAAGGATTTTTATTCTCTTATGTTAGTTAGACAAGAGAATACGACGAACTCGAGATGTTGTTGCGAAAAAAAGAAGGAAAAAAAAATAAAGAGGGAAAGAAGAAAGAAAGAAAGAAAAAAAAAAATCCAAGATTTTGTAATGTTTTCTAAGCCACACGTTTGAAAGATGCAATCAACAATTGCTATACTAACAAATGACCATGAATGATTGGTTAATTACACGTGTTTCTCTTTTTACCACTTTTGTTTTTTTTCATTTTCTTTTTATAAAGATTATTTTAATCCAGGTTATTTATTTTTAGACAAAAAATGTTTATCCACGATATAATTATATTATTTTCTTTATAAAACATCGAATATTTTTGTTATTTAAACTCACCAGTCGGCTCATGTTGAGATCAATTTAGTTTATAAAATTTCGACAGATTTTCGAAAATGCGTCTCGAAGAAGCTTCGAACTGTTCTGAGTTGTCATTTGGTTGGAATCGTCCTCTTTATATAGGAATCCAGCTAAGCAAAAAAGTCATCTATAAAACTTATACAAAAGACTAATATCATAATCGAAAATCCCCTCCATAAGCCAAACCCTTCCTCCCACCATACGTACTGTCAAACATCATACCTCCAAAATTTTGACGACTGTTTCCGAATAGTCGCGAACGATTCGAGGAAACTCGAAAATCCTATTCGAGGATTTCACATTAACTTGCTGGATGGTAGGAGAAAATCATCATCTTATTGGTGGTATTCGTTTAGTTGAATGAAATTTCGCCGCGTGAACACACACAATATTTTTTTGTCTTTCTTTCTTTCTTCATTCATTTCGTTTGCAACAATTTATGTAAAAACAAAAAAAAAAGAAGAAGATGAATGATATTTTATTGATTTAAATTATAACAAATTGTTATAGTTTAATTTCTTTCTTTTATTTTATTTTATTTTTATTTTATATTATTTTATGTTTATCGATTATCTTTGAAGAGTGACATCATTACGAATTAGCATGATCGAGGGACGAAAGAATGTAAGACATAAAACTAGGACGACGTTTGTTTGCTAAACTAGACGTGCAACTCGTGTTTGGATTTGTTAATATGAATGCAAAACGTAAGACAATAATCTTGCAGATGTAAGAAAATATCTTTGATCTTTGTTGGGGTTGTTTTTTTCTTCTTCTTTTCGTTCGAATGGGACACATGCACAATCGAAAAAGGAACGAATTCTATTAAAAGCCGATGATATCATGTAAGATAGCTTTTAACAACGCGGAATTAAACATGTGTTAATATAAACTATTATACCCCGTGAGTGAGATGACGAGGAAGAATTTTAAAAATAGAAAAAGGAAATTTTTCGAATGTCGACCTGTAAATTGCTTATTTATAATATATGTTAATGCAATGCCTGGTATACATTACTTGGAAGTGTCTTTCTTTTTTTATTCGTATCTTCCTTTTCGATTTCATTTATTACGCTTTACATAAGAACATAATTAAAATACAAAAATTCGTCATTCAATGAATGCTTTTAATAAATTTGCATTATGATTATAGCATAATGACGATATTATATAAACATTAAATTTTTGTTAAACACCTTTTTCTTTTCGATTTTAATGGAATTTATAAATGTATAAATTATATCTATATGTATATATTTTATTTCTCCTTAGCTTTTTTTTTAATTGTATTTCTCTTCTATTCGAAATTTCTGATCGTCGATAGTAGGATAAACTGAATAAACGGTTATATTTTTCTTTTCCTTCTTTTTTTTTTAATTCATAATTTTACTTTAAAAAGTTGAAAAGCTAATCGTTAAACTTTTGAATTAGCTAGTTCTATCGTTATTACGTAAACTTAACTATCTACTTAACTATGAATTCATTTAAATGTAAAGAATGATAAACAAAAACATAGTTGAAGATTAAGCGTATCCTTATTGTTAGATGAAAAGAGAAATTAACGGGGGTTGAGGTGCATTCGTGGCTTATCACATTTTTCGAAAATGACTTCTGTGAAATAATAATACGATGAGCATCACGTTTATGCTATCCTCATCTTTCTTGCGCCGTAGGAATTTAAGAAGATTATTTAGCAAAGAACTTTCGATTTGAGTAACACTGCTTCGGGCTATAATACGTCGCATAGCCTTCAAGCTTTATGCGTGAAAACGCCTCGCTTTAAAGGAGCCTAACAAGCCGAAAAAGATGAAAGGATCTCTCTTCGATAATCATTTTTTCATTCATTATCGATGCGAATGATATCGTCTTGGTATAATACTTTTTGTATTTTTTTTTCTTTTTATTACATCCTTTACATTTCTTTAAATGTCAATCGTCCATGTGTGTATTCCTTTTGTTTAAGATATTATATTATATCGAGTTAAAATTATCCTTACGAAAAGAAAGAAAGGATGTTCATTTCTATTTAAATATATAAATAGATAGATATAGATTTATACATTTGTTTATTTACAGGATATTGTTGGTCCAGTAAATAGATTTGTTTTTTTTTACCAAATAAATTCAATATTGACTTTATATAAGCAATACTATTACAAACTAACTTATAAAATGTAATAATATAAATATAACTATATAAATATAAATATAAATATAAATATAAATATAAATATAAATATAATATAAATATATAATATATAACTAAATTATAAAATTAAAAACTAAAAAATAAATTAAATACAAATTATATATATATATATATATATTTTCTTTTTTTTTGCTTAAATGTTGTATAATAGAATAGAACAAATGTATCTACGAGACACACCAAAAAAAAAAGATACTTTTTTTCCACTCGTTATATGGTTGTTTTCTTTTTTTTGTAAATCATATTTCAATTTTTTAATATTTTTCTTTTTTTTTTGTTATCTACGCGAAAACAATTTTCGTACTCGCATATTTAACTTTAATTGTCATATTTTGAATCGAATCGGTTTGGCCACGCTTGGTACTTTGAAGAGAGGCAGAAAATGAGTTATTCATTGAGAATTTATGTCGAAATAATCGATCGAGGTAATTGCATAACTCGCGAGGACTCTTCAAGGATTGCTCGTGCGATCCGAAGAGGACACAAGAGAAAATAAAAGGAAAAGTATCTAAAATATATATATTTTTTTAAATATACGCATACCTTTTTTTTTTACCTTCGTTTGTGGCCCATCTTTAGCATCAATTTTCTACTTTTCCAAGCTCTCTGATATGGGAATATATTTTTAATTTATAGATTTTCATAAGAGAAATTCCTTTTTACAAAAAAAAAAGTGATTAAAAATGCATGCGTGTTGTGTTTGTTTGTGTGTGTGTGTGTGTGTGTGTGTGTGTGTGTGTGTGTGTGTGTGAAAGAGAGAGAGACATGAATATTACGTCATTATAAAGAAAAATAAAAGATGAACTATTATCTACATCCCAAGGTCACAATTTGCATAATGCGCGTATCGATATCGATACTTCGTTAAAACATAGTTGCTTCATCGAAAATCAGGTTTTAAATGTTTCACAATATAGAAATGGTTATTAGAATCGTTGGAATTTATAAAATTACTATAAAACAAAAATATACAAGGTCATTGTTTCAAAAATAGAAAATCCTTGATATTAAAAAAAGAAATAAAAAAATGTTCGTCTTCGATTCGCATTTTTATTTATTAGCGATATTTAGCCCTTCAATGAGTTTTCGAATAATTTTTTACGAAAGACAGATATATTTATATCTCGTTGTTCTTTTCTCTAAAGGTTTTTTTCCTTTTCTTTTTTTTTTTTTTTTAATTTATGACGGTAATAAGAAAGAAATTGAAAATAATTAACGAACTTGAAACGCGCCGTGAAAGATCGATTCGTCTCGTTTTCATATCTCGTCGTCCTTTTTAAAAGTCCCTTGAAATATTTGTCTGACGCAATAATTGTTGTGTAGGTACCTACAATATCCGATGAAGAAAAAGAAGAAGGTCTTCAATTGAAATTCGTTCGATAATAATCATGTAAAAAATATCAATTTTATGTATCCAAACGTACGATCAGTTTTAAAACGTATACCTAAGATAATAAGTTAATAATTTGATCTCGAAGGGATTCACGATTTGTAAAAAATGATGTTCTTAAAGAAAAATAAGAAAAATAAAAAGAAAAATTGTTATTCGTGGGATCGATAATTTCCAAGTAATTTTAGATCAATAATTTAAATAAATGATCAGTAATAAGTAATTAAGTGTTGATTATTATTATTATTATTATTAATTGGCATTAGGAATTCGAAAATTCATTGTCGCAAATACCAAATCCCGCCAGTGTTCTCGTCCCTGAGCGCAACCCCTCCATTCGTGGTCTTCATTCTTTCTTTAAGATCCCTTCTAATATTGAATGAAGTGTGTCGATATTATATATTAATTAAAATAATACAAAAATTATTTAATATATTTCTAATAAATATCACTATGTAAAATTTCATTATTCTTTTCTATTATAATCGTGAACAAAATATTCATATATTTAACGTGACTATTTATTTAACGATATAACTGATAAAATATAACTGATAAAAACAAATTACAAAACATTATTAATAAATTACTAAAAGTAAATAAAATAAACGCAAAGTATGATACCCCGAAATTTTGTAAAAATGATCAATGAGTGCTCGTTATCCACGAGATTTACGATTCTGTCAGTTTATGTTAATAATTTTTATCCTTCCTCTTTAAAAAAAAGGGATTTGTGCAGACAAGGTTATGCACTTGGCAAGCAGATCACAAGCTTGCTTTCATTTCTTTTTTTCTTTTTATTCTCTTTTCTTTTAAATATTTTGGATGGATTGTATATACGTAAACAGCGATATCACTGCAATGCAGCATCCATGATTTTGAAAGAAAAGCAAAAAAGTTAGCAGCCAGCAGCAAGAAGGAGACAGGGGGAAAGAGAATCTCCCTGTTTTAAGTAGGTCCCTACTTCGAATGGTATAAGTCTCGCCATAATTTGTACAACGGAGGTCGTCCGGCTAACCTGAATACGCGGCATTTTTACTTTCACAAGGCAGATGAGTCGAACTCACTTAAAGTTTCTTCAACGATGAGGTTACGCAGTCGGTGATTAAAGATTCTCATACGACAGCTTATGACAATTCATCACTTCTATTTTACCTGAACCTTAGAATATAGAATACGTTTGTGTATGTGTGTGTACGCGTGCGTGCACGTGTTTGTATTTATTTTGAAATTCTTTTCCATTCGCGCGATCATATTTTTTATTTATAATTTTTTTATTTTACAATTTCTAACAATTTTTGAAGAAATGCCATTTATCTCGTACATTTTATTTTTGATTTATTTATTATATTGTTTTAAATACTCGTATTATTAATTATTTTTGATCAATGAACGATCATGTAGGACAAAATTAACATGAGAGTTTGGAGATAAAATGATGTGATACATAATTGAATATATTAGAAACTAATTTGAACATCTAATTTTTTTTTTGTAGCAATCAATTTTTAATGTGTGTCGCGATCTATTGCAATTCCTCCCTCACATCATTTTTTACTAAATTTACATGCAAGAGAAGGAACGAGTACGTTCAACCGTAAATGTTAGAAATTTTATGTAACGACATGTTAATTGAGAAGAAACGTAAGCTTTTATTTGCGTGTCTCTGTGTTTGTTTGTGTGTGTGGGTATTTCGGAGAAGAAAATTATTTCGTAAGATACGCCTCTATGATTTTGCAATTACGTCATTCGAAAAAACCAAAATATCTTTTTTATCTTTTTTTTTTTTAATTATTATTATTTATGTTTATTTCAATAAAATCTATTTTTAAAATGAATTTTAACTTATCTCAAAATTGAAGAAAATTCTCGTTAAATTTAATTTATCCTCGTTTTTTTGTCAATGATACGTCATTTCAATCAAACATGGCGCTTATACGCATTTTCAACCACGTGTTTTAATCAAAGAATCGAATACTTTGCTCTGTTGGTACAGATATCTATGAATTTTCTAATACTATCTCGATAGCAAAACTAAATAGTTTACTTCGTTAAATCTCTAAGATCTACCTTACCGATGGTAATACTAGAAATTACTAGAAATCGTGAGAGTTAACAGATAGATGACGGACTAATGCATTTCTAAGAAATATTAACTATTTTTCTATGAACAATAATCAAGAAAAATCTGATTTATTCCAAATTTCTTTCTAAATAAATCAACATAATTATGTATAAAATGAAAAAGATATTTCATCTTTTAAAAAACTAAAAAAAACAACGAAATTATTTGAACTTTGAGCTTTAAGAAAAAATTTTCATTTTTTTTTTTTAAATATTTTCTTTCTCTTCTTTATAACAATTAAAGTTAAATATAGTCTCTCTTGTGGATCGTAAATTTTGTTTTTCATTCAAAAAGGGTAGAATTATTTATTCAACATTATGGAAAACCCTTTTTGTCGAAGTAAAAGCTAAAAAAAAAAAGTAGTAGAAGAGGGAGAATTCGTGTTGTTAAATCGAAGTAGTAGTTGTTTCTTCTCGCTTTTAACATCACCAGTAACAGTAATAGCAACCAAACAGGAGTAGCAAGGAGAGAAGAAGAGGCCCCAACTTCATTAATCAAGGATGGCAAGGAATATGCCTCGAATGAAAAGACGTGTACCAAGCAAATGCAAACGTTTGTTAACTGAAATATTGTTTTGTCGAGACAGTAAAATGAAAAAAAAAAAAAAAACTTTCGTTTCGACTCTGTGCGTTGGCGGATACGATATTTCGCATTCGTTCAAATCAACAACTTTCTTTACTATAGCTTTTGATAAAAAAAGAACACTTGAGGATGTACAAATGAGAACGTTGACACTGAGAAAAGTCCTCATTCTTTCTTTACACTTACTTTATATTCTAAAGTAATGATTCTTCTTTACTTTTTTAACCATTAAACTTGCAATCATATTGATTCTAAAACAGTAAAAAAAATTTAAAAAAAAACAAAAGATAAAAATATCAATGTAGTTACCGTTAGATGAGCTAGTGATATAACGTGTCTGTCTAACGTTCTACCATGGATACATTTTTTTTGATTATCAGTCGATTATACAACGTGTTTCTCGTTAATTCGTATTTCTTTTTTTCTTTTTTCCAATCTTAAGCGTTTTATGTATAACTTTACGTTTGTAATTGTATATTGTTTGCATAGACAAACATCTAACTCTCGGTAATTTGTAATTTTTCTTTTTTTTTCTTTTTCTTTTTCGTTTCGATAATAAGAAAAAATTAACGTAAACAATAATTATATCTTTACAACGAACATCTTACTTCGTTCGTATTAGCATATTTTTTTTATTTTATTTTTTTTTTGTCGTCTTCTTTAATTACAAGTTAATACGTGGAATTGTTCGAATTGTCCGAGTAAACTTTTTTTATTTATTTCTTTCCTTTTTATATACAAAAATCGTCGCTAATTTGATACTTTTATGAATTTTAAACGACATATATGGTCAGAGATAGACGTTGGAGATAAATAAAAACTTGATATTCGCCTTTCGTCTCGGAAACATCGTCAAGGTTTCACAAATTTGTTACACGGTTGAATTTATAACGCATGTAAAGTAAGAAAAATTCGCGTAAAGAGATGATCATCAGGTCAACGAATGCATTAAAGACAAGCAAAAGTTCGTTCATATTTGTATATGCATACATACATACACACACACACACACACACACACACACACACACACACACACACACACACACA